TCCTCCTCCTCTTCCTCCTCCTTTTCTTTTCCTCCTCCTCCTCCTCCTCCTCCTCTTCCTCCTTAACCTTCTCCTCCTCTTCTTCTCCAACTCCTCCTCCTCCTCAACTTTCTTATCAGACTAGCTGCGTTTGATTAAATTTTCTCCCACGGATAAGATAGATTGCAGAATTCCGCCCCTCCTTAAAACCTGGCTGATAAGCATGTCTGGATAGTGTCATCTCCTGAAAATGTACTGGGTGTTGCTTTCCTCCTTCCTTCCCCCCCTTTTCTCTTCCCTAGCTGCCTGCATTTTCCCACCCAGATTCTTGGAATATTTACAGCCTCGGTGCCTCCAACTTTATCCACGACTTGGCAAGAAAATTTACCTTCTGTTCCTCCTCCTCTTTTTTCTAGGTTTGAATTGCAGACATTCCTTCCTCCTCTTCCTCCTCCTCTCTCCTCGACTCTCAAAGTTTTTTTTTTTTTAAAAGACCTCTGAACATGTACAGAGTGTTTGCCTGGCCACCCGGATCCCAGCGTTGCCCGCTTGAAAATAAAGAATGTATGGGTAACCCGGTCCAGGCCCATTGAGCTGTTTTTATAGACTTCGTTTTTTGAAAGAAACTTTTTTAAAAAAAATCTGAATAATCCAGCTCATTACAAGCCAGAATTATTAGCTGTAATTAGAAGATGAGAAAGAACAACTTAAAAAAAAAGAATGAGGTGATGAGTTAAGGCTTTCAACAACATTAGCTAGACTTTTTTTTTCTTTTTAATATGAGACGTTCAACCTGGGGATTTTAAAATTATAGTTGTTATCTCACAAAATAAACCAGTTCCCTGGTTGTGAAAGGTTTGCAAAAATACAGCCTGTCTCCTCCTCCCTAAATTGTGGGCTTCTCTGGCTGCCCTCATTAAATCCCAAATTCACCTGGTCCTCGACTTATGACCGTTTGTTCAAGGCTAGACCAGTGGTGGCTAACATTTTTAGGCTCCTGTTCCAGAAGGCAATGCGTACGGGGCCTCCATGCCCCCTGCCCTACGCATGCATGCACAATCCCCCCCCCATGCCCCCTTACTTGCGCTGCGCCTCCTAGCTGATTTATGGACTGTCAGAGAGGCTTGAGGGAAGCCTCTGCAGGCTTTGCAGGCCGAAAAATGGGCCCATTTCACCACGTCAGGTATTTTCGGAAATACATGAAGTGACGAAACGGGCCTATTTTTCGGCCTGCAGAGGCTTCCCTCAAGCCTCTCTGGCAGCCCGAAAAAGGCCCGAAAATCAGGTGGGAGGCGCGCGCATGCGCAGTGAGGTAAATTTGCCTGGGGCTCACGTGCCATAGGTTCGCCACCACGAGGATAGTCTGACTTTAAAGATAAAAGAGAAGGAAGATGCAGAATATTTTCAAATACGGGGTTTGTTTTTTAAATGGTTGGATCTTAGAAGTAAAAATTAGGAGATGGGGAAAACTTTCCTTATGTAAGCAACTGACTCAGACGATACACTATTCACAAAGCCCTTATATATGTTAATTGAAAATGTATAAATAAACTATATACGTAAAAAGATAGCCTTACGGGACAGATTGCGAGCTGATAGCTTGTGGGCACCATGTGCTTATTTTTACTGGACAAAATCTCCACATTTCTGCTGGCCCAACAACATCTGATGTAGCTTCTTCTCGCCAATTAATTTTGGGATGGTGGACCAATTTTCTGAGCCTTGACTTTCCTTCCCTCTTGTTGACTCATGCTTTTTATGGATCTTTCCCATAAAAATTCAACTCCAGAATTATCTTGATAAGTCTTCCAGGAAGGGAAAACTACCCATATTTCTTTCACTCTCTGAAGACCTTGGACTCTGATCTGGCCTGTTGATGGGTAAATATTCTTGAGGAAACATCTCGGTAACTTACTGTTTGACTCAAGGCTGTTGAGTTTCTTGCTTTTATGGTCCTTGCAATCTTGTTGGTATTCCATCACTCAAGGTTTTCAAAGGTAGACCAGACAACCATTGGATCGGAGTGGTACTATAAGGTCTCTTGCCTTGAAGAAGGCGGGTTGGACTAGAAGACCTTCAAGGCCCCTTCCACCTGTAGGATTGCACCTGGAGTTGCAACCACGAATTTTTCTGCTCCTAGTTTGGAGCAAAGGAGCCATTCTCGTATCCCCTAGCCATGATTAATTTGGCTTTATAACTTCCTTCCTGCCAGCTGGACTTCCCAATTTATTTATTTACCCATTGCATTTATGGTTGCTCAAATCAACCAGTGGACTAGCTTGCCTTCAGAAGTTGTGGGTGCTTCATCCCCAGAGGCTTTCAAAAACAGGCTGGACAACCATTTTGTCCGGAATGATATGCTTAAGCAGGGGGTTGGACTAGAAGACCTCCAAGGTCCCATCCACCTCTATTGTTCTATGTTTGTAGGGTCCAGTTAAGATAAGATATAACCTTTATTGTCATTTCCCCCCCTGTAGGCACAATGGCAGTGTGTCAAAAAAAAAAAAAAAAATACCCAGGGAGGGTTTTTGGTGGGGTTGGATCTTCTCTAGAGGCGTGTTTATGATTCTTCCCGGAACACCACGAGATAAAAGGCTTCATTGTTGTTGACTTAATGTGTTTTTGGATGCTGCTGGTTTTCCTTCTCCGGCATCTGGCCAGAACTCTTTAACTAAAATGGAGCTGACGGGGCTTTCTCAGCAGAAGGTCAGGCGAGGAGAAAAAAAGGGGGCTCCCTTTAGCTCAGGAAATGCGGCACAGCTCCTGGGAAGGGTGGGATCCGAACAGCCGCCTCCCCCTCCTCGGAATTTATTGTCACTGATCCTAACGGGTGTTTTGACAGCCCTGTTGGAAAGCAAAGTTGTCGTGCCAGTTTTGAAGAGCGAGATTGCAACTCTGGCTAGCCGCTGAGTGCACAACAGCAAAAGTGTGTGTGTGTGTGTGTGTGTGTGAAGGGAATTCTGGAATGGCTCCTTGTGTTTTTTGTTTTGGGGTGGCGGATTCTGTGAAGGCCCCATTTGCTATCAGTCAGTCGTACCCCTTGTGATGACCCAAAGGGACGTGGCACAAAAGCAGCAACATCACAAAAGTAGGTAAAGTCCCTTTAATTCCTCCAGTTTGGCCCCCCAATGTCCAGTTATCTTCGGCAGAAGAAAAGCAAACCCTCCCAAGAACAGTTTTTAAAGGGAAGAAATTCAGTCCGAACCCAAAGTACACATAAATCATAAATAAAAACCAGCACAAACCACAAGCTGCAGCACTTAACCAGACAGAGCAGGATAAGGAATTGCAGACTTCCAAAAGATAACAAAACACACAGTTGGGAGGAAGATGTGACAAAGATAATGCACGCTTTGCTTCTAGCAAGGTGCTGTGCGCAAACACCCTTTATATCCTATTTTCCCAGCTGCAGCTAATGAAGGGAATCAGGGCCTTTTTCTCCCCCGTAACCCATGTTGCTCCCTTATCCATTCCTCCCTGCGTGCTCTAGGATGAAAAGGGGGTGGCCTTGGGTTTTCCTCTGAATGTCCAGCCATACTGTTCCCAGTTTCCTCCACAGCCACCGGAGCCACACTCCCACTCCCTGTCAGCTGTTCGATCTCCTCCTTGGAATCAGATTCCAACAAAGGCATGATAGCCCCTTTGTCAAACCTGGTTTCTTCCAGTTGCGTTGGATTGCAGACGGGATGTAAGCTTGGATCTCTGGAGGAAAAACAATTTAGGAGAAAGACGCCCAAAATGGTTTCTCTACTTTTGAGAGTATGGAGGGGTGTGTCTGTTGGTGGCATCTTCGGTACGTTGCCGGAATTGATAGGACGGAGATTTGCATTGGAAAGAGAAAGAGAGAAGGAAAGAAAAAAGAGAGAAAGAAAAAGAAAGAGGGAGGGAAAGAAAGAAGGAAGGGAAAATAGACTGAGGAAGGAAGGAGAAAAAAAGAAGAAAAAGAAATAGAGAATAGGAGGAAGGAAGGAGAAGAAGAAAAAGAAATAGAGAAGGAAGAAATAGAGAAAGGGGGAATGCGGAAGGAAGGAAGAGAGGATAGGAAAGAGGAAGGAAGAAAAGGAAAGGAAGAAGGGAAGGAAGGAGTGACATCCAACTTTTTTCAGGGCAGTAATATCAAAAAATAATCATTTCCTTGACTGTTTGCTCCGCGTTTCAACCCGTTTCTCAGGCAACGAATTAATTCTGATCCTGAAAACTTTCATTTCCCTCGTTTCCAGGCTAAAGTCCACAAATGGTTTCCAAGCAGAAAGGAACTTTAATAAAACTTTGGACTCATGCTGGGTGGGGAATTCCGTAAAAGTTTAGCCAAAGAATCACTGCTATTCTCGGCCTTCGGTGAAAAAAAACCCAGACATTAGTGGTTGCGCCACAAACTAACTTCTCGGATTTTGATCTCTCTAGTTAACATAGGAAACCCTCAATAGGGCTTACTCTTCAGTCAACCTCCGGTGAATTGAGCCTGTAGGCTGCATAATTTTCATGGGGTTCATTTCCTCCTGACCACAGACCCATTTTTCTTTTATGTTTCAAACAGATATTTTTTAACAAAAGAACCTGCCTTTCCGTCTTAAATTTTTTTTACACCTCTGTTTGAAGGATTTGCCCTAAACAATGTTATTAACTGGCAGAAACGGCAATCTCTTCAATCAGTGTTTTTCAAATGGTGGGCCCTTTAACTGGACTTCAACTCCCAGAATTCCCCAGCCAGGAATTCTGGGAGTCAAAAGTCCACACCTCTTAAAGGGCCCACGTCTGAGAAACACGGTCTTGCAAATATCTGAAATTCTTCACACTTTCAAACCGTGTTATGGTGGCTTCCGGCTAAGGAGCATGGATCCTCCTGTGGCCGAAAGTCCACCCTGCAAGGTGAGCGTTGTAAAACTAGGAAAAGTCTGCGAGAGATTTACCAGGGAATTCTGGTATGTTTCCAGGAGGGGGATGACTCTTGGTCTCCTATATCAGATCAGGGGGGGGGCTTCCCCAGCTGTCCCCCCCCCCCTCACCCTCCTGCTCTTCCTCCACCTTCTTGCTGTGGCCTGCAGTCGGCAGCCACACCTCCAGCGTGGCAGGCAGCCGATAGCAATGACGCACCTGTACCTACCAGATCTTGGCTGGCTGCCTTTTCCGCTGCCATATTTGGCAAGGTTGCGGTGTCCCGCGTGTTAACTTTTATTTGTTTGCCTGATGGCTTCTGGAGATACGGAGGCGGTGACGCCGTCCGGGAAGGTGTCATTCCATTAGGGCTGAGGATAAGGCAAAGTTGCCGGTAGTTTCTGCCTGCTCGAGCGTAGTTTTAAAACAGACACGAGGATTATTATTTTCTTCCTTCCTCATCCGGAGATCAAAATGTTTGACAGACGTCGCCACGGGGCAGTCGCTGCTGCGGTTGACAATTGATGTGGCCTGGCAGGAGGATGGTCAGTGCTGTTGTAACTTTGAATAGTCCCTAAATGAACTTGCAAGTTGAGAAGTACCTGCGTTAGCCGTCATGAAGGGGTGGCAGGCGTCGTAGGAAGCGGCTGGATCCATCAGCGTTGGATGGGAACATCTGGTGGAGGAGACACCTGGCACACTAAGCAGCTCATTTGCAGAGGGAAATGAGGTTCCCGCGCCTAATTTCAATCACAGCCTGATTTGAATATCGTTTTTATCTTGTCTTGGTTCCCCTCCGTCTCTCCCACTGCTGGTGTGTTGCAAACAACAAACCCTGTGCCACCGAAAATTATATATTTTTTGCATTCTCTTCCTCTCCTCAGACCTAAACTAGGGAAACGTTTTCCCCTTCTACTTAGAGACACCCTCAGAGTGGGACAGCCCATAAATTAAAATAAATATGAATGAATACATTTGCATGAGCCAAACTGTGCTAATTGCCTCTCTTTCCGATTTCTCTCCTTATGGTGACTTCAGGACAGCGTCAAAGTCTTAAGGTTGACCCTACAGAATGACCTCCCCGGGGACCGACCTGACCAAATAAAGCAAAAGGTGAGTGTATGCGCCGATCAGCCCTGCGAGGTAGGCCAACCCCATTTCTGCAACCTTCGTTCTGGTTTTGGTTTTTTTGCAGAATTTCAGCCGCTGGGAAAGTTCGGCTTCCTCCCGTCTCAATCGAGGTTAGACAAGCTGGATCTCTTTTAAGACTTGTGGACTTCAACTCCCAGAGTTCTTCAGACCGCGGGATTCTGGGAGTTGAAGTCCACAAGTCTTAAAGAGATCCAGCTTGCCTAACCTCGATTTGAGACCGGGGAATTCTGGGAGTTGAAGTCCACAAGTCTTAAAATGGCCGAGGAAAGTCTTAAAATGGCCGAGGTTGGACGCCGTTGGGTCTAAACAAAACCAGAGTGGTTTTGACTTCCTTCTTCACTCCAGCCTCTGGAGGGTGGAGAAAGGGTGTATTTTGGGGGTCTTTGCTGGCTTTGAACTCTTATCTCCCCCTCCCCGTCTTAACTCTTTCTCTGTGTCTTCTCGCGATAGCCGGTGGGCAGAGCCTTCGCCATGGTGGCCAGCCGACCCACGAGTAGCCACACCCTGGCGTCCGAATGCGTCAAGTGTAATGAGGGGGAAGAGGAGATCATTAAGGTGAGGGGCTTTCCCCGGGCGAGGAGAACGTGCCAGACTTAACCCCTCCCTCCCTCCCTTCGACCTTGTTTGATAGCGAGGAAAATAAATTTAACATATCAATAAAACAGAGAATATTTGTAGCTCAGGGTTGAAATGAAAGGTACTTTCTGAGCTGGCTGGTTTTCTTGCAGACGTCTCGTGACCCAACTAGGTAACATCGTCAGGGCTAGTACTGGTGATGTTACCTAGTTACGGTCATGAAACATTTGCAAGAAAACAAGCCAGCTCAGCACCAAGGACCCCAATTTAATATATCCCTGTCGTCCTTGATGTAATGGCCACAACGGAGCCCAAATTTCCGTTGCTAAGTGAGACATTTAAGTGAGTTTTCCCATCCCTTTTACGGCCTTTCTCACCGCAGCCGTTAAGCAAATCAACGCCACCGTTAAGTTAGCAACCCAGTTGTTTTAACTTTAGAACAGTTACTGTGAACCGTTGTAAGTTGAGGACTACCTGCATTTAATTTTTTTAAAATATATATATATATATAAATAGGAAGAAACCAAAGGACCTTTTTGTTTTTTTCCTCCTTCCTTGGCTTCAAGGAGTTTCGCCTTCACAGACCAGCATCCGGCAAAAGAGAGATTTATTTTTTTTTCTGCAAGGAAGGTTTTGTGTATGTTGAGCCGCCCAGGGTGCCATTTTGTTTGCAGAACCGGTGCAACCTGCTTTTTTAGGCTGCTCGGTGTGTGTGTGAGAGAGAGAGAAAGTGTGTGTGTTTTTCCAATCTCCCTGCCTCCCCGTTTCCTAATCCCGGTTTTTGTGCACCGTTGTGGCAGAGCCCAGGAAAAATTGCTCTAGCAATAGTCTGGCTTTTCACACACACACCCTTTCCTCTCTCTCTCTCTTTCTCCAATGGGTGTTGTGGTTTCTCTCTTGTCGTGATTCAGGTGTACCTGAAAGCCCGGGCCGAAGACAGGGCGAAGCATGAAAACGGGCCCTCTCCGTTGACAAACGACAGCTGTCACCCAGAGGTAATTGGCGCCTTTCGCCGTGGTGCCCCAGCTGTCAAAACGGGGGAGAGGCCGCCTGAGGAGCTGGCGTTTTGGGATGGGGTGGGTGGGAATCTGAACTTCTCTTCCTGCTTGGGCCAAGTTCTCAAAGTTTTCTTGGGCCCCGTTCGTTTAAAAATAAAATAAAAATAAAAATTTATGTCACCCCGTGATGGAGAGACCTGCGCTCCAGTCAGAGAACAAAAATCAGAACAAAAACAGGATAAAGAGAGTTGGGAGGGACCTGGGAGGTCTTCTAGTCCAGCCCCTTCCTCAAGCATGGCTCTTCTTGAAAGCCTCCCGTGATGGAGCCCCCCACAACTTTTAGTGGCAAGCTGTTCCACTGCTTAATTGTCCTCCCGGTGACGAAATTCCTATTTAATTCCAGGTTGCTTCTCTCCTTGGTTTAGTTTCCATCCGTTGCGGCTTCTCCTGCCTTCAGGGGCTTTGGAGAATAGCTGGACCCCCCCCTTCCCCTCTTCAAATTTTCCTTGCAAAAAAATTTGCTTGCGGTTTTGGGTGCTTTGCCATCAAACCTCGTTGAAAATCACTTGGGGTTTGTTTGCACAAAAAGACAGACTTTTATTCCCGCCCACCCCCCAAAATCCATGCCTACTTTGACAGCCTGGGTCGAGTTGCCAAACTCTCCAGCTTTGCCCAAAAAGGAGTTCTCTCACCCCCCCCCCCCCAGCTTGGCAGGTGATGCTATGAACCTCCCTGGCACCAAAACTCAGCTTGTTTAGCCGGCTGATTCACTCCTCCTCTCCTTCGTCCCAGCCGTGCCCAGATGTTGGGTTGGCTGGCACAGCCTTGTTGACTCTGTCTCTTGAGTTGTGTTTCTTGGCACAAGTTGCACACGCACCACGCCCAATGGGGCCCTCGGCGGTCCCGGAAAGGGGTGGCCCTGACTTCAGAATTGGAGGGGGGGGATCGACAACCCTTCGCCACGTCTCCTCGCCAAACTCCATCACCCCGTTTTCCGAGAGAAAGGATTGGTGCCGTCGGTGCCATGCTTAACGACATGTTTATTTTTCCTTCGTTTCTGATAACGCAGAATAAGTCAAACGGCTTCCAGCCTCTTCGGACAGTGACGTACCGCACCGTATCTATAAGCCAGGTCAGCGCCCGGATTTTTAAATTTACGTTATTTTTTAATTCTTGGGCTTTCCCCGTTTTTATTCTAATATTCGTGCACAGTCCTTAAAGGTTATTGGTCCACCAGCCAGCGACGCTCAGTGAGGTTCCCTACATGGAGTCATCATCATCTTTTAACAACACCGTAATCCCTTACGGGGTGGAGTCTGGGAAACTGATGGAGCTAGCAGAGCGTTTTACTGGCCAGATGCCCTTCCTGTTGACAGTACAGAGTTTTGTTCTGCAGATACATTCTCATTGTGCCCAAAGAAAGAAATAATCTGCCTCTACCTAGGATCGTGATGGCGAACCTGTGGCACGCAGAGCCATTTGTGCTGGCACGCGAGCTGCATGCAAACTGCACGTGCATGTGCCTCACAGCTGCTTTTTCTACTGATTTCAGGCCTTTTTCGGCCTCCCAGAGGCTTGGAAAAAGCCTCTGCAAGGCTTTTCAGGAGGAATAGGCCTGTTTCGTCACTTCCTGTAATACAGGAAGTGATGAAATGGGCATATTATTATTATACCTCTTTCTGAGTTCTCGCGTGGTGAGTCAATCCGGTTTTCCACCCCCTCCCCTGGGATTAAGTCCCCCTTCTCTGCGCTTAGGACGAACCCGCCTATCCCACCGAGGACATCTCCGTCATGCGCGAGACAACCAAAAGACTCTTTTCAAAACTTCAGGAGGCTGAGAAGAGGCATCAGTCCGATCGGGCGGCCTATGAGGTAGGTGAGCCTGGGTTGCAAATGGAATTTTTTTTTTTTGCAATAGAGTAGGAATAAGAATAGAATATAGACTGTGGAATAGAATTAGAAATAACAGAATTAGAAATAGTCGAAGTAGAATTAGGTATAGAATAGAATTATGAATGGAATAGAATAGCTTTATTGTCGCTTTGAACGTACGCTCATTGGCATACGTTAAAAATGCTGGGATCTAGTCCTGTTTTATAGCAGGGGAGAAAAGATTTTTGGGGATCTCGGCAGGCCCGCAATTATCCCGGGTTTCTATCTGGGCGGGGAGAGTGTTAAATCTGGGTTTCCCTCTTGTGCTCAGACGTCGATCTCGCATTATCGGAGAGAAGCAGAACATTCGGGCATCGCCCTCCGGAAAGCCGAAACGGAACTGGAAATGAAGGACCTTAAATTGGAAGAATTGCAACGGCTCCTCACCGGCATGGAGAAGGTATAAATTCCTCCTCCTCTCCCTTTTTCCTCTTCCTTCCTTCCTTTTCTTTGATCTGCCTTCTTTCTTCCTTTCTCCTCCTCCCCTCCTCCTCTTGGATCTCCCTTCCTTTCTTCTCCTCTGCTTCTTTATCTCTTCCTTTCTTTTTTTCCTTTTTCCTTCTTGCTTTTTTTCATACGTTCTTCCTTCCTCCGCTTCCTCTTCAGAAACCTCACTCCTTTTTAGCACTGATGATGGTGCCTAGTTAGGTCATGAAACGTCGACAAGCCAATAACCAAGCTCAGAAAGCACCCAGGACCCCCCCCCTCCTCCTCCTTCCCCCCCCTCCTCCTTCTTCTCTTCCTCCTCCTCCTTTCTTCTTCCCCCACCTCCTCCTCTTCTCCCCCCCCCCCCCGGTCCCCGC